AAAAAACAATAGACATTTAAATTACTAGTAGTCAATGAGGATCTTTGAATTTTGTAATAAAAACCATTTACATTAAAAACAATAAGTCATAACTGCTCCACATATTGAAATGAGCTGTGTACAAGGTATTCAATGACAAGCACTAACCTGCAGCACCTGCATCAGCAGTAATTTCAGGACATTGTCATCCGGAGACTTTAGTTTATCCACGGTGTCTACCAACCAAATCAGAAACTCATGTCTGTCCAGCAAACCCTCCTGGGGAAATAAAAAAAGAAATAAATAAATTAGTAAATAAATACATAATTAGTACAAAAATAATTAAATAAATTAGTAAATAAATAAATGATAATCAGTAAAAATCACATAATTTCATCATCATATTATGCACCCAGGGACAAAATGACAGTTTCAAGCAACCGTTTTACTCTCTCAACCCCAATATGTAAGTGTCAAGGTATCCTTACGTAGAGGTTACTATAATCAAATGCCTGAACCTGACAATGGTATCTTGCTGGGCAATGATGGACTATTGGAGCAGACACAAATTGCAGTTTCTTTCCCACCTTCCATAAATATCCCACACATAAATTTTTACATAATTATTTCCATACACTCCTCATCAATGGCAGTCTTGGTACATTTATTCTTGATTTATCCAAACAGAGTGACAGAAGCACCACCCAACTATACATCTTATACATATGTTAAGACAGTGTTAAAGCCTTGGTTACCTCATACATATGTCTGGCCAGTCTGGTGGTATACTGCCATTGTTTTAAAGCCAGATCAATGTCTACATCTAATATATATTATAAACAGTGTTAAAGCCTTGGTTACCTCATACATATGTCTGGCCAGTCTGGTGGTATACTGCCATTGTTTTAAAGCCAGATCAATGTCTACATGAGAGGTCTGGGTGGCAGTCAGGAAGCTGGTCTGTGGACCCGAGGAGCCACCGTGATAGTGCTCTATGATCTTACTTAAGTGTTCTTTAAGGAACCTGTAGATTGTGATGGTCCAGTCTGGAGATGTAGTAAAATATCATATTTAATACACACAACAGAGACAGCTGTAGATTGTGATGGTCCAGTCTGGAGAAGATGTAGTAAAATATCATATTTTATACACACAACAGAGACAGCTGTAGATTGTGATGGTCCAGTCTGGAGAAGATGTAGTAAAATATAATATTTAATACACACAACAGAGACAGCTGTAGATTGTGATGGTCCAGTCTGCAGAAGAAAGAGTAAAATATAATATCTTACACAACAGAGAAACCAACCTCACCTAATATAGAGTTTATTTTCAACAGGGTTTTTTCTTTATCAACCACAAATATTTACATTATGTGCTTTTTTCTCTTTGTTTCTTTTTTACTTTTTATTTTTGGGAGGGGGTGGTTCATCATATTCTGTTTCTTACCACTAGAAGGGTCTATGTTCTGTTTCTTACCACTAGAAGGGTCTATGTTCTGTTTCTTACCACTAGAAGGGTCTATGTTCTGTTTCTTACCACTAGAAGGGTCTATGTTCTGTTTCTTGGACTTGGTCTTGGATTCATTCATGGCTACAGTATAGGCGTTGTTCATCTTCAGGAACCACGCAGCCCGGATTAAAGGAACATTGTATTCACACAGCGTGGTAAAGATTTCTTCCCTCTTGTTGAAAACAGGGACCTGTTATAAAAGTAATGAAATAATTATAACATCCTGCTGTAATTAACGTACAAGAAGCAATTTATTCAGAATTTGTTTTTCTCTCAGAAGACCACCCAATCTTTTCCATATAATATTCCTTAAAAATATAATTATAATAATAATAATGATAATCATAATCATTATTATCATCACCATTATCCATCTATTCTTTTGATTAATTTGTTTATTAATTTTTCTTTTTTAGTGGGTGTGTGTGCATGAGTACATATGCGTGTATGGTACAGTAGTGTTCAAATGATTGTTCATTATATACAACTGTTTAGTCTACATTAGCTCAAATACTTTTAAATGTTAGGCTACAGTAATTTAAAATCTTTAAAATGTCGAGCCACACTAAGGTATTTTACTTTTCTCCCAATCTGTGTCAGAGGTTTACTCCCGGCCAAGTCTTTGAACCAATTCTCTATGGCCTGCTTTGACCTTGCTGTGACCTTAAATGACACAATTATGCTGACAATTAATACAATGACATGTGCTATGCAGTGTTCAAATGGCTCAGACTGAGCTGTGGAGGGAGCCTTGTTTCCTAGTCTAGTACTGAAGACTTAGAGGAAAGTAAACTGGCAGCTTTGCAGTCAACCACAATATAAACTATAATCAAGCTTCATTAAATAAACCGATAATTTATCACAAAGGTAGCCTAATTAAAATCTTAAATCTAAACAATGTTGTATAGTGATGGCTATTATAACATTATTTATTTTATCATATACGCCATCATTCTATTTGCTTTTTATTTTGTTGACTTTGGTGTCGCGTCTTTATATATATATATATATATGGGGCTTTTAAAAATATCAAATGCTAATGCCAAAGACAAGCAACTCTATATTGGGGTCCAAAGGGAGAAAAATTCATGACTAAAATATCCAGATAAATTTTTAAAAACTTGTTTATTTCAGTCTCTCTATACATAATTTAAAAACATTTCTAGATAACTGCTGATGATATTATCACTTACTGGCCAGAAGTTGTCCTTTGTGTTGATAATAGGTTTCTTTTTCCCAGTATCTTGTAGTGTGTTAAGATCTGTCTTCTTAGCTATGATTGCACTTAGACTGCTGCCAATCTGAAATAGTGGGACATCTACAAATGATTTTCAGTATTCTAAAATGGTATTCTTTTTTAAAATCAAACTAAAAAATACACACTGTTTCTGCACCAGCTCTACCATACATAGTTGTACCTACAAAAATGAAATAATAAATGAAATAAAGAATAAGTTACTATCTTGTAAATCAATACCAGTAGGTTAATAAATCTAAGTCTTAATATGTTTTTCCTCTAATTACTAATCACTTACCAATCAGATGTAAGAAACAAACACTTCTACCCAGCACTGTAAATTGACAATATTTTTATCATACTAATACATTTCATAAGCTACCCTTTTTTCTACTTACGGCATTTTGCATTTGCATCACTGTGACATGTTTTGCAGATCCATATTCGTCATTGAAGTGAGGGATGTTGTTGAACCCTTGCTTCACACTGACATGAGTCAATTCATCCTGAAACCAACAAGAACATACATGTTCACTGCCACTGCCCAGTGCCTTGATTTGATGTGTAGGGTATTGGGGAAGGAGAGAGACACAGGGGGAAGGGGTAGTTCAGCAGTGTACCCCTCCCCCCTCCCACTAAATGCCATACGTTTGATTTTCATTTTCTCCCAACTTCAGATTTGTGCATGGTGATTTTAGACGAGATTTTGGGTTGTTAGAAAAAAGGAAGAATCGCTTGGTGTCCCAATGATCGTATATCTGGGGGTCTCTCAAGGCGGAAAACTGTTAAAAAATTAAATTTCCGATTTAAGTCGGAAGAAATCGTTTCTATTGAATTGTAGTGCCAGGGGCAGGTAGAACAGGCCGGGTAGCTCAGTAGGTAAGAGCACTCGCCCTGTAAGCGAGGGGTCCCAGGTTCGATTCCTGGTCTGGTCGGTGATTTTTCTGCACTCACCCCAAATCGCTACAATGGTGGCAGCGGTGTTGCGAGATAGGACTCGCGTCTTTCGGCATTTGGGAGGGAGGAGTGGTAGTGCCAGGGGCAGGTAGAACCGACCGGGTAGCTCAGTAGGTAAGAACACTCGCCCTGTAAGCGAGGGGTCCCGGGTTCGATTCCTGGTCTGGTCGGTGATTTTTCTGCACTCACCCCAAATCGCTACAAAATTTCATTATTAATGTCTCTTCAATGATGTGAAGCACCTGCTGTGCTGAGTAATATAGAACGGTAATAGCCATAGCAATCGAGATCACTAATATTAAAAAGTATTCCACTCAAAAATGAACTTTTGATGTAAGTACAGTATATCACAATTAAATGAAAACAATAAACAATCTAAGGAATCCTAATCGGCAATCGGCTTTATCAATGAGTCGTTTCTTTAAAAAGAAGCCGACATTTTCCCAGGGCAATTTCTAACCAGTTTTCAACCAATCAACAGCGGTAAGAACTAAAGTAAACATCTAGATATAAAAAAAACAGTTTATTTTACCTCTTTTTGTCTGTGTTCTTGTGGATAGACATCTGGAGGACCCAAACGCGGCTTTTTAAGCGACCTATTATCTTGACTCGGGAAGGCCGCCATCTTAGTTTATGTTGACTGCTTAGAGAGTATTTCCGGTGACCCGAGTGCATTCGTGGAGAGTACAAGGTCACGGAGGTACATTACTTCTATTGCTAAACTTCTACTAGGCCAGCAGCTGTGACACAGAAAAGGAGCCTGATACGCCCAATACACCTTTCAATTAAAATATGAGAACAAAACACTTTATTTAGTACTTTTTATTTTGCTGTTAATAATATTTTAATTAAATAATTTTAAAAAATTAATTAAGCTAGATGAGACTGGAAAAGCCGACTCGAGAGCGACTGAAGACCTACATACCAGTAATATTTCAACATCCCACCAAGTATTGAATATGTAGGGCCTACAGCTGTACAGTTATATGTAGTACATACCACCAGTTTTATTTTTAATATCAAATGTGATCCTTAATTATTGTGGTATTTTTAAAGTACATTGTATTGAATACCGGAATGGTGGATTAAAAATGGTGGAGGGCGTCACCGCGCACGTATTCCCGCCAACCCCGTAACTTATGTGGCACCCCATGCTTTTTCTCCTTCTAATAATAATAATAAAGATCGGCCACAATTTTATAGGAAACAGACCGATGCTTCAGACAAGAAAAGGCTATAGACTCTTCAATATCCTCAGGACTACGCCGGATGCGCTAGGTGTGAATCATCTCAACCATGACAGCATATAAATGCACACAGACTGGTGTGGTGTTGAAAGTGTTTGCGATTCCAACCTCGATCTCGCTTTCCAAAAGTTTTGTTGCTTTTCAAGATGTAGGGCTTAATAAGAGAATAGGCGGATTACAAAGCTATAGACTAAGGTTATAAAAAACGTCCATGCAAAGATTTCTGAAGGTTGAGGATCGAGGAGCTGTAAGGTGGAAGCATTCATCACAATATCAAATGCTCGATAGGCCTATATAATATACATGTAGGTTAAAATTTTGAATGGGGAAGTCAGCTGCATGCCAAGATAAATAATCCATTTTGCCAAAAGACAGTCTGCCCAGTTGCTGTACATGTTTGAAAATAACCTGTGGACTTCAAAATAAAATACTTTGTCATTTTACACATTTGTCTGTTAACCAATGAGGGAACAGTGTTCGATTACAAAGACCGTAAATATAACAGGCAAGAAAATCCTTTTTTTCTGAGAAAATTCTCCACAAAAAGGCCTCGTTTCCATGCGAGTCATTATCAGCAGTGACATTAATCTTGTGTGAGATGGGGGAATCTACAGCGTGTAGCGACCCAGTTGAATAGATGAATGGCATTGAAGTGAGGATTAATATTCAGGATATCGAGACCTTACATGGGGAGAGAATGGGATAACACATGAAAGACATCAGACTTATTTTCTATCAGATCCTTAAAGAGAATGACGCAGTACAGTAGACAGTGATTATGCCAACATCGCACTCTCCCCCCCCCCCCCCCCGGGGTTGTACATGTACGCTGTCCCATTTGAAATAAAGTGCAGAGCATCTATCTTAATCCAGACAGTCCAGACGTAACATGACACTCCCGGGTCTCATTCAATACAGTCGATATCAAGGAGGAGACCACATGTTTACCTTGTTTTATATCCAGCGTTCATTCCCTGTTTGAATGAGTTCATTGGCCAGAACTAATTAAGTCTCCGACATGTACATGTACCAGTGAGACGAGGAAGATGACACATTAGGGACATGACACTCTTGTAGACAGTTTCATTTTTACTTTGAGAGAGAGAGAGATCCACAAGATAAAGACCTACAGTAGCAAACCCCAGTGAGATTCATGTGTCAACAGCCATATATGTTTTCAGCAAATAATAATAATAATAATAATAATAATAATAATAAAAACAACATCAACAATAATAATAATCATTATAGTTCTTATTACTATTATTATACTGGTATATGTACCGGTAGATTTCAAGTCCAAGTCCATTGATATTTACTTGTTTATCAGCAACATTATGTCTTCTGCTCAATGAACCCGGCCCTTTTTTTTCTTCCCAAATTCTGACAGTGTACAAAGATGATTCACAGTAATCAAACACGATACAGATATTGCCTTGGGCAGAATGGTTCTCCTGATATTGCATGTGTATTAGTTCGTCTTTAGATAAAACTCTTGTTTCATATCTCTCTTGTGCAAAACGCTTACATGTTTGTACCTTAAAACTTAGGGGCATGTTTCATTCAATAAAGGCCTCATAAAACATTCTTGACATAATACATGTACAAATAACGAATTTTTCTGGTTCCATCCGGGACATCATTCTATCGTACTCCATACTAAACCAAAACCTATATGTACACTTAATTATTTCTGATTTTTTTTCCTACTTAAGCCAAGTGCACTGTGTCCTGCATTGTCCACGGTTTAACGTGTAGAAATGCACTGTTTTTTGAGAATTTTTTTTAAATATGAAATCTTACGCTGAGATATTTTTCATCGGTCATCAAAAAGGAAAGAGGGTCGTATTATGGCGCACATGATGCCTCAATCCGTAACTTGAAACACCAACATAACACGAGGGGACCCGGAGATTCTCTACAACACGCCCCTCACTGGTCAGCAGAAAGGGAAAGGGGACCAAACGATGCGTACAGATAGCCCTAGATCCGTCTCTTGAAATTCAAACTACACGAGGGGGTAATATACAACATGTAGCTCGCAGTAAGGCTTAAGATAAATGTTTGTTGATCGATTCCACATAGACACAGGCGCTGGGAAGGGGGTATTGATTGTGTGGCTTTTAATAAGGACTTGACGTCATTGCCCAGGGGGCATTGCGAACCGCTTTTATCTCAGTTCAAGAAGGGATCGAAGAAATTGGCCTTTCTTTAGTTTGGGGAGAAACTAAGGTCTCACTTTGGGTGGAGAAAGCAGTAAAAAATATTCTGTCTGAATGTGACAACTGTCGCCCCTTTTACCCGTATAATGATCTACCTCACTGGGTAATTCTGCATGACTTCCACTGGTGATTTCCTGCTTAGAAAAGAGCTATAACAAAGCGACGTCATCTCGAGCGAGCTCATCTCAGACCCGTTGTTATCCAACCGGAATATTTGTCATTTTGTAATATTTCGTTTTTGTTTTTATTTTGAAAATAAATTTTTGTTATCTTGTTTCAATAAAATTACAAATAAAAACATATCCTTCGTGCATGCCTAATTGTAAGATCCATCCGATGAAAATCCCTTATTTCTAGACCACATTTTCTCCTTTTTTTCTACTTTATTTTCAGTTTAACGAAGCAAGTTATTTTTCATGCTCTTATTGGCAAACACACAGAATTTAGTCAGTTATGGACAAATTTGTAATATATCACAAAATAAACGACATTACAATATATATATATATACACACATATTCAACAACTTGCCCACAGGTTCAACTGTAGAATGATATTTATTGCAATTACTACGGTGTTACATGAAAATAGCAACTATGTAATTTTGCAGTCTAATTAGTGTTGTTCCATGCATACGAGGATGTCTACGTGGAATACCCGGCAGTCAAAATTATAACTTGAATCTCTCTCAAATTACATTATCGTTTTTAACAGCAGCTATTCTGTTCTCTCCAAATTGCACTTGCCTCTGTCGGTAAACGGCTATTTATTAAAGCTCAAATTGAATCTAGTCTCTACGTCTCAAGAGATACAATGTATTTAGTTAAAGGCCGCTGGCTTGCACAGCCATTGATCTTATTAAGAACCTAAATCTTCCTGTTAAATTCCTTGAATGCCGTTAGTAGCACTGCGCTTATTTAGTACGATGTGGCAGTGAATGTAATTTGTCTTAACTAACAGTGCATTTACAACTGCGGTGAGGATTATGAAATTAAGTACAATTTCGTTGCATACAGTGACTGCCTTGTTTTATGTCTTGTCAATTCACTAGGATATCCCAGGCAAGCTGCGAATGTCGGAAAATGGGTCGATCAAATCGATTACAGTTCCAATTATGCCTCGCCGGCAGAATCCAGCGCTTGTTGGGCTTGTACAGAGATTAGCAGCGCCGCGTAAAGGAGTCGTTAATTACCGAGCTAAGGTATGGATTAAGGCGGACACCAGTGGGGTCGATAGCCCGACTTTCTTTGGTGACAAAATATTCCGGTGCGACATCCGAGAGCACTTGAGCTGAGCGTTTCCTTTTTATTTTGCGTCTTGGAAGTCCTCGTCGTGTTGAGAGACATTCCACCAAGGGAGCGTCAAGGGGAGCACGTTACACACGTGGACGGGTTGCTGAAGACTCCTGACCAGCTACTAAGTGTGCTATACAGAGAAGTGTCAATCACTTCAGTATAGCTTAGGGTGACATGTAACACACTTAAGGGTGCGCAGACAGTTAAAGCAGCAGATATCAGACATTAAGTCAATCTACAAACAGAAGTAAAAGAAAAGAGGACAACAACTGCAAGATTTGGGAGTTTAACACACAGGTGCATAATAATACGCAAAAGGGTATGCACCATAAAAGGTGGGTATATTTGCACTATTACCTTGCCTTTTTATATAACAATGTCTTTCTGTGTATGTGTGTATATTGCGTGTGCATTTCTTTAGAAATCATGATTGCAAAGTGTGATTTAGCCAGTGCATCAGCAGAATCTATTAATTACAATCTGACACTTGTGCAGTTGCAGGATCTTATCCAAATTCTGTCCGTGTTCTGCTGAGTGTTTGAGCAAGCATCCCAAGCCGGCGGCAGACAGCGCGCGCAGACATGTATCTAGGGTCTTAACTGTAAGGTTGTTCCACACGCGGTCTAGTGTATGCCTTCCTAACAAATACAGACCAAGTTAGTTTACTTAACTCAAAGCTACTGCTCGCACGTGCGCTCGCTCCCACGCATACCCACACGAGGTAACAGGCTCTGCACACATGCTTTAATTTGCGTTGCGAGGTTAAAGTGGTGTTCGTAATTTGGTGAGAATACCGGTTCACGAATTCAGTGCCCTTGCCCTGTATAACTTTTCTGCATACATTGCTTTCGTTGGAAATTG